TATTCCAACAGAATAAATATTAAAAAGGAAAAAAAATGACCATCACCAATGATTTTAACTGGAACCCATTAGTTTTCAGTTAACGGTTAAAAGGTGACTCTCCAAATGGTAAAAAGTTTGCACTTTAATTGTGTTCCCATCAATATGTTTATTTCTTTACTTTTTTTTTTACTGTAAGTGATCACATTTGATAAGTGCTGGAAACTTCTTAAGTGGTTTAGATATGTTTTTTTTTTCATCATTTGTAGAGGATCACTGGACATCAAATGATTCATTGCACATATAAAGGAGACACCTTTTTCAATTTCTGTATAATTTGCAAGGCTGTACAATGTGTGCTGATGCAAGTTTGGGAAAAATAAATGTTTACAAATATACATTTTCTGGAGTGCTGTTTTAAAGAAGACGAGTTCAGAACTGAACTATGTTGGGAGATGGATCCTCACTGCAAAGGGTCATATATCTAATGATAGTTTGGTTATAAATGTGAAAGATTTTAATGATTTATTAATATTTTTAACTATTGAATTTGTATTGTTCAGGTCTTCATGGGGGAACTTGAGTCTATTCACAAATTCAGAAACAAAGATGGGTTTAATAAAAATGTGATATTTTAGATACTGATTGGAATATATGCTGTAGATACAACAGAATATAGTAGAAACTCAGCTGTGGGTCATTGATTAATCATGGGAAGTCTGGTACAATCCAAATGCTTGCCTGAAATTCCCATAAATTCCGGTCATTAACAATCCTAGTTGTGATTCTGGGAATTTGTGATCTAAAATAACTGGAGATGTATGATTATTTGCTCTATACTAGGCCCTAGAAACTACTTGAAGGATGATTTATAGGCAATCAGGCCTTTTTTGCAGTCTAAGCTAGTTTGGCCAATTACAAGGAATTGATAAATTTGTATTCCCCCAAAAAAAGAAACCTGGGAAGACTGGATGCCATTTATCATGCAGTACAACATGATAGTTAACATGTCAGTGGTCTGGGTAAAGCCACGTATGGTGTCTGGAGCAGAAAGTTATATGCAGTTCTTTCATGTGACTGCTAGAACTCTTGAAACCAAGATTTGAAAAGCAATTTCAAAAGGAAAATGAAGGGTCCTTGGTGCTATCATGAGCTTGGTTGTTTTCTTGCAGACATTCCATTATCCAAACATCAGTGATGATGTTACCTAGTTTGGGAAATGAAAACATCTGCAAGAAAATAATCAAGTTTGGAGAGCACCAAGGACCCATCATGTCAACCCTGAGCCACAAATATTCTCCTTTATTGAAAATGTAAATGTAAAGTACAATATAATAAAAATCTGTTTATGTGAAAAAATAACCAAGTAGATAAGAGCAGTTCTCTTTTCTTTACATATCACACTATTAATTGGTGTATAATGAGAACATGACAAAAGATTTATATAACATACATGTACACTATGCCACAGCTTAAACTATATTGTGCAGGATTCACATCATAAACTTGTTTACAAACTGCAATGGCTAGTTCACTTATGGATTTGGCTTAAAGTGTTCCATGAGCCTAGCTATAGTAAAAATCACTGTATTGCTCTGGATTTCACAGAGGGCTTGTGGGGTCTCATACAGAATCTCTGCAAGCAGAGGTGGGTGGCACATAAATGAACAACCGGTTCGCCCAGCACCGAAAATTTGAGAGTGTGTACATGCTCACTTTGCTCGTGTGCGAGCCTTCCGCACATGCGCTTCACTCACCTGCGTGGCTTGCACACATGCACGCGGCTTTAAAAACACGGCTAAATAGGACTGCATAGTGCCGGGGCCGCAGGTCGCAATTATTGGTTCACCTGAACCAGTCTGAACCGGCAGCAGCCCACCGTCTCCAAGTGAATATCAAATAGTAAAAACAAAATGTAGTGAACTCAGGACTTTCAGTTAAATGGTCAGGAAAAAAAAGTATGTTCCAGTCATGAAAAACCAGTAAAACTAGATATTGGTAATTGTGTCTTTGAACAATTGGTTTTGGAGAGAGGAAATCTTGAGTTAACTGCCCAAAAGTGTAACAATGACTAAGGTGGGTGGATTTGAAAAGGAAATTCATAAAAGGTAAGATACTAATTGTGATAATTGTTAATATGGCAAAGAATATTTAGAAGCAAATCTAAAAAGCCATCACATCTAGTGCCCTGCTCAGTACCGAATCCACTAAAGCAACACCATTAGTCTTTGTTTAAAAGACCCCCATGTTGGGCAGCCAGCACCAAGCACAAACAATCAGAACAGCTCCAAGACTTAGTCAAGTTTATTGAATCACCGGTTTACAAGAATCTCTCTAGACTTGCCTGCTTTTCCCTGGGAAAGCCTAATCTAGAGTTGTTTTTGATCTTGTACACTTCCTCCCACCAATAGCATCCAAGCTGGAATGTCTCATTGATTCCATCATTCCACCACAGCCATTACTCTGGTTATGATTATGAATTAATAATGGTTTTCTCAATTTTTCATAGTATGCTAAATGTTAATTTTAGGAGCTTGGATTTGCACAGCACAGTAGACTAAAATGTTGGCTAGTCTGTAGTTTGTTGCGTAATCTAATGCAAAAAAGAGTATCAGAACAAGTGTCTCTCTAGACAACAGCTTTTGAGGAAAATGAGGATACAATTACAGTAGCCTTCCATTAGTAGTAGTCATTTTCATAAAATCATGGACCTGTAAGGGGCCATATAGGCCATCAAACCCAATTATGTTCCATACAGCAATAAAAATTAAAATATGACCAACAATAGCCATCTCAACCTCTGAACCCGATTGTAAGGCCTGCCACATTACTGGACATTATTGCAATCTTTCAATCTAACTCTTTATTATCTTTGTTAGTAAATGTATTTGTTTCATTAGAAAAAGAGGCATACTCTTCCCTAGGCACAAATTGCAAACCTTTTCAGCAAACTAGCTCCTTATTTTTTTACAACTTGTATAGTGATCAGTAAAAGTTTACGTTAGATCAGGGAGGAGAGGTGCAATAACATTTATCAGTCATTGAGGACCACAGTGATTAGAACTGACTGCCCTGTGAATAAGGTTCTTGAACTCACTTTTATCTTGATTTGGCATGACAGTCTTTAGTTTTTAAAATCTGAAGGAAATTTTAGCATTTGACCTATTTGGGTGTTTGTCAATTGAATGGAAACTACCATACATTTCGGAGTATATGACGCACTTTCCCCCCCTAAAAGACGGTGGAAATGTCGGTGTGTCTAATACACCGAATATGGCCATTTTTGGCCTCCTGAAACCCCGCCTCACGCATTGTTTTTGCCAAACATGGGCCCGTTTTTTGCAAAAACAGGATGCGCAGACGGTTTGGGAGGCCTGCAGAGTGCTCCTGGAGGCTGGGGAGGGCAAAAAAGGAATGCATGGGAGGTTTGGGAACCCAAAAACAGGCCCGTTATTTTGCAAAAACAAGCCTGTTTTTCGCAAAAATGGGATGTGCAGAGGGTTTGGGATGCCTGCAAAGTGCTCCTTTGCAGGCATCCCAGGGGGCCAGGGAGGGCAAAAACCAGATGCACGGATGCCAAAAACTATTTTTTTTCTTGTTTTTCTCTTCGAAATCTTGGTGTGTCTTATACTCTGGTGTGTCTTATAGTCCGAAAAATACAGTATTACTTTTAGAACTACCAGAGGCTTCAAAAAAATTCCCGAGTTAACTCACTTCTGAATTAGACTGGGGAAAAAAATTAAATAGAGATTTTAAAAAAGTGGCAACACATTTATACAATTTTAACAAGCTTTTAGATGCTGGAAAGTGTATATTTGTTGGTCTTGGTTACTGTAATTCACAGCTAATAATTCTGAGGCAGAAGTATTGCATTGTGCTTTGCATAGGCCAGCCTTGGAAGACCGATCAAAAATTGCAATTGTTATAGATGGCAGCAGTCTGACTGTCAGCCGGTGAAATTCTGTAGAAATAGGACAGCAATATACAGGTACTGCATTAGGTACCAATAGGTTTCCGGATACAATTCAAAATGTTGGTTTTGACTTTAAAAAGCCTAATGTGGTATAGTTCTAGATATCTCCAGGACTACTTCCTTCAAACAGAATGTCCAACCTGTTTGCCCAATGCAGGTGAAAATGCTGCAACTCTCCCTCTCACAAGAATTGGGGGGGGGGGGGCAAAAGTAAAGTGCTTATTATGATACCTAGCCTCTGGAATGATCACATTCCAGAGACCCCAATGGCTCCAAACTTGGTGGTACTCATAAAAATAGCAATGAGAGGGCCTTTAGATTCTGGTAGATTGTTCATTGGCGGGGGCTCTGGTTAGTTGCTCCCGTTGATCTGTAATTTTGCAAACTTTCTGTCTTTGATTGGCACCTTGTCTTTGATTGTTTCATGGTATAATTGGAGGGTCTTGTGATCTTAAGCTTTTAAATAAACCGCCTTGAAACTGAGTGCCAAAGAATTGAGACCTTTGAATTATCATGCGACTCCCTTGGACTGCAAGGCGATCAAACTGGTCAGTCCTACAGGAGATCAACCCTGACTGCTCTTTAGAAGGCCAGATCCTGAAGATAAAACTCAAATATTTTGGCCACCTAATGAGAAGGAAGGGCTCATTGGAGAAGAGTCTAATGCTAGGAACGGTTGACGGCAAAAGAAGAAAGGGACGACAGAGAATGAGGTGGCTGGAAGGAGTCACTGAAGCAGTCGGCGTGAGCTTAAATGGACTCCAGGGGATGGTAGAGGACAGGAAGGCCTGGAGGAACGTTGTCCATGGGGTCGCTATGGGTCGGACACGACTTCGCTACTAACAACAACAAACTGCCTTGAGTTATTTTGGAACATAGCGATATATAAAATTTGTAATAAATTAATAAATAAGCTCTTAACCATACCATAAAATTGTATAAAAGTTCATCAAAATGGGTGCTTTACACACTGACAATATATTAAATTAGGGGAACTCAAATGCTGCAGTTCTTTGACCCCCAGAATGATGAGATTATGCAATCCCCTAAACAAAATTAATAGTTTAATTAGAGTCAGGATTCAACAAAAAGTAAATATGCCAGTTACATTTAATAATTTAATTTTAATCTATATAGCAAAATAAGGGTAAACTGCAACAATGTTTTTATAATCTGTTTTCATATGATGTTTTATTTTTGTTTGGCTGTGTTGCTTTCAGTGAGCAGTTTTTCTGATTAATAATAACTGAGTTCATGCTACTCCAGTGGCAAACAGACTTGTGTTGTCCAAAGATACTTAACTTTCGTCATACTTTCTTGAAGCGTTAATGATAGATTGCTCACCTCCAACTCTTCTATCATTTTGAAATGCTAGAAAATTAAAATAGTGGATAAAAATATTTAATTTCACTGCTATGTACACTTCTGATAAACTATTCCATACCACACCACCAAAGATAACAAAAACACCCAAATATTTCTGTGATAATCCAAGGCCAAGTATTTAAATGGTCTGATCTGACTCTTTTAAGTTGTATGTGATCTACTATATATCAACAGTCACAACTCAAAATTTGAGAACCCCTGACATAATTATTGAAATGTTCCAAAGACACAAAATTGCTTCAGTCATATTGTGGTAATATCTTTTTCCTTTAGTGTGAAAAGAAGATAAATGAATTAAATATGTATTTCACTCTGATATGTGTTTATTCAGAAATAAATCCTTTTAAGCTTTGCAAGCACAAAAGGATAACCCAGCTGACTTGGTTAATATTCAGACTGGAGACCGCTTTATATTAAAATGCAGGATGACTCATTCCATAATCCCCAAAGAATTATAGTTTTGATACCATAATTTAAAAAAAAAACTGGTTGGCAACTTGAACTTATTTCCTAAAATCAAGTTTATTATTACCCTCATAAAATACTTAGGGATCTTTATAATAAAAAAATATAACTGAAAGCCCAATCCCTACCAATGTGGAAAAAAAAGTGCACATATAGATTTAACAGTGCAAACATATGTATGTACATAAGTCCAACTGAACTCAAGGGACTTAGTCACAGTGAAGTATATCTGAAATTTCAGCTTGAAATATTAACCCAGACAGCTACTGACGCTGGTAGAAACATGCTGTCTGGTAACCATGTGCAATCTAATGGAGTTTCCTAAAAGGGTGTAATAGTGGTAACATTTATCTTGGCTTAAAATCAATAGTTATTTTAACTAAAGTTGATCCATTATGAATCCTGGCATAATTATAATGCTATTCAAATTTCAATTATGTTTCTTTAGAACAGTTCTTATTCTGTTCTTTGCTATCAATGGTCACAAGGATGGCACACATATTCTGCTATAATCGAGAGCATACTGTCATCTTTGCTAGAAAGGCTTACTTCAGGCCTAACAGCAGAGAAAATTTCACCTGTTAAGTATTTGCCTGCCTATCGCATTCAAGGGAGTGGGTAGGATGCATTAAATCCATGAGCTACAATGAAACAAAGCCAATGGTGCCAATCAAACTTCATGAGCATTATGTTTACATTTCTAAGATGCCTGTAATTTAGAATATAGAAATAACCTATTGAGGGTCAGCCATAATAGCCAATATCAATTTCTGCCCCAGAGGTTTAAATTTCTGAACAATGTTTTACAAATTTCACAAAGTGGTTTAAATCTCAACAAAACAGTAAGAACCCAATTTTAAAACAGAAGGTATTTAACATGAAACAATACAATAATGCACGATTATGATTATCAAAAGACATAGCACAATAAAGCAAAATATATCATCATTACAGAGTTCATTTCTTCTAAATAGAAAGTTTATACACCCATAGTTTATGGGTGAAATTCCCATAAACCCCCACAACCACTTAAGGTGCAAGATCTCTTCTGCAAGTTCATCGAGACACAGAAAATCTAGAGCTGATCCGCAATATTTATTTGAATTAATCCTAGCTGCATTACTTGGTATAAGTAATAACTGGCGGAGGGAGGGTGGGGAAGGAACATAGTCATACCAGCCTTTCCTCCTATTTTCCCCACAACAACCCTTTTGGGGTGAGCTGGGCTGAGAGAGAGTGTGACTAACCCAAAGTCACCCAGCCGGCTTTCATGCCTGAGGCTGGAGCAGAATTCACTGGTCTCCTGGTTTCAACTTTGGTGCCTCAACCACTATTGTGCAATATTGCACAACTTTACATGGTACTCCAATTCTGAATACGTGGGAAACGATGTATCTGTGAAATCTGCTAATCAAACAACTTTCCCAAAAATGGTCAGAGTGTATCTAGGACTAGATCATACTAGAACTGCAATATTCTATGCCAGGGGTCTCCAACTTTGGCAATTTTAAGCTTAGCGGACTTCAACTCCCAGAATTCCCTAGGCAGCAAAGCTGGCTGGGGAATTCTGGGAGTTGAAGTCCTCCAGGCTTAAAGTTGCCAAGGTTGGAGACCCCTGTATCTATGCAGTTTGCCCATGCCATCCTTTTAATTCAATTAATTTAATTTAATTTAATTTTTGTTTTGTTTTAATTCCACGCAACACCCCACATTCATCCAGCACCTGCCCCGCCACCAATCACCGGGGCTCTCCTTACTCGCCGCTGCTAAACCTCAGCAAGGCGCTCCTCCTAGGCGTCCAATCGGAGCGCGACGGGACCTTCCTTTCTTCCCGTTCGCCTCGCTAACTCGTTGCACCCACAGCGCTTTATTAAAAGGCGTGCCTGCGTCCTCGGCGCCGACCTCCTCTTTTGAGGTGGGGGGGAAGTGGAGCGGAAAGTCACCGCCTCCGGAGTGAGGGTGACGTTTGTGACGTGTGTGTGTATGCGCGCGCGCGCACCGACGCGTACGAGGCAAACGGACTGCGGGAGGGTCAAGGGGCCGGAGCGAGGAGGGGCCCGCGCGCGCAACGTCTCACTCTCTCTCTCTCTCTCTCACGCACACACACTCTCTCGCCCCCCCCCCCCCCACCGTTCGTCTTCCGCGCGCGGAGTCGACGCCGCCGCCATTATGCTGTGGTTCCCTGGCACCATCCCGGCCGCCATTGCCGCCGCCAAGCAGCGCAGCGCCGTTTTCGTGGTGTTTGTGCAAGGTACGGGCCCGTCCGCGGTTGGTTAGCGCCGCGTCAGCTCTCTTGTGTCGTCCCCCCACCCCCCCGGGAAACTGGGGGCAGCCCCGACACGGAGCCGCTGGAGTCGTCCGAGGGACGCTTGGGCCTCTTCTTCCTCCTCTCTGAGGGATGGGAAAGGCCTGCTGCGAGGGGGGTGAGGGGGGTGACAAGGGACCTGTGCAGCCTCTGACCCGAGTCTTAGCCTGGAAGCCGAGCGGAGGGTTGCGTTGAAATACGCTTTAGAGAAACGAGGAGGGAGTGTGTGTGTGGAAGAGAGAAGCTTCCGAGCTGCCTCCTGGGGTTCTCCTCACGGCTTCGGCCAACCCCTCCGGACGGTGGGGTGGCCTGTAAAAAGTATCCAGCCTGTTTTGTGTCAGCCTTGACTCTTGTTAACTGCACAGCCGTAGCCCCTTGGCAAATTACTCGGTTTGCTGTTGCCTTCTTCAAGGGACTTTTGGTCAACTTTTCAGCCTGCCCTGCCGCCCGTGAGCAAGAGTGGCTCGTCCAACCCTTCCTTTAATCCGGTTTTGCCTTTTGGGAATCAGGCAAGATAAGCGTGATAAGTGGGGCATTATTATCCCCAGTAACTATAAACTGGCTATGATTGTTGAATGGGACGTACGCTGGTCGAAGCAACAGCCCAACCTCTTGCAAAACTGAATATTTATTTCTCTAAGGTACAGACATAAGCAAAAAGCATGGTACAGATAGTCCTCAAATACAACCTTTCGTTTAGGGATCATTTGAAGTTAGGGCACTGAAAAAGTGACTTACGGCCGTTTTTCACACTTATGATGGTTGCAGCATCCCTGTGGTCACGTGATTGAAATTCAGACTCTTGGCAACTGGCATATATTTACTACTGACTGTTGCTGTGTCTCGGGGTCACGTGATCAACTTTTGCAGCCTTCTGACAAGCAAAGTCAATGGGGAAGGCAGAATCACTTAATAACTGTATTAACGTTTGCAGTCATTCACTTAATTGTGGCAAGAAAGGTGGTAAAACGGGGTAAAACTCACTTAATTGCCTCGCTTAGCAGCAGAAATTTTGGCCTCAACTGTGGTCATAATTTGAGGACAACCTCTAAGTAGAAATTACCACTGCTGTCATGCATTGGTTTCAAATTATTATTTTTTCAGCCCAAGAATTTCATCCAAAGAATTATTTCTGCCTGCTTTCTTCTCTGCATGTTTCCTCTTCAGGTTTTCTCCATGGCAAGACTTCTAGATTTGGCATTTGAGCTTCCTGCTGTTCCCCATTTCTTTCTAATATTCTAGATCAGGTGTCTTTTATTAATCCTTGTATTCCTAGTAATTGTATGCTTATTTGAATGCTGGTGTGAATCTTTTTTCCCTATTTTTCTGACCTTTCTGTGAGAGGGCTTGCAATGTCAGCATAAGCAGCAAACAAAATGCCTTTGATGTTTCACTGACATTGGATAGATTAAGAATTGACAGTGGTCCACATTATAGTAAATCTGATTATTTTTGGTGGGAGAGAGAATGCATTGGGCGCACCTGGGTTTAAAATCTTACCTTGTCCAATTTACCACTTTCCAAAGCTGGAATGTGGTATTCCAGACCATCTCTTCACATTTGCCCTTCAACTCTTGGGCTTCAGTAAATAAGAAGAATGGAATTTTCTACTGTTTTCAAAATCACTCTCAACTTTAACTAGCCAGTTTATCAAGTATAATAAATCTAGCAATTCTGCTCTAGTGGATTCAATTGAAGTGACCATCTAGCTAAGTTTTCCAGAATTTTATCCAAGCACATAGTGATCTGGTTGACATTTCCCAAACTATCTCAAATCTAGCGGGTCCACACTGAAGAAAAAAAAAAGCCTTGTTCAATCAATTGTACATGCACCTCCTGTCTTTATTAATTATCTGTCTTCTTAATTTCTTTGCTTCTCAACTTCTCTAATCATACTTTTTGAAAATTCTTTCACTGCAACTGAAAAGAATATCAGGAATTTCTATGAAGTGGCTTAAAATGTGTAATATTCTTTGGCCTCTTATTTGCTTATGGTAAGTAAAGATAAGGAGCCAAGAAGAAGGCCTTTGGACTAAACAAAATGTGCTTTGTGCTACAAGCTAAATCTGTCCAGGAAAACAATAATTGTGCGACAGTACTTCACTGATAAGATGATAGAATTGTTGTCTGCTAAACTATCCTAGTCACTGTATTTTCAACTATTAGAAGTGAATGTGAATTCAATTTCTAAATATTAAACTGAACATTGATAATGATATCTCTTATAGTATAGTTGACAGACAGAACCAGTGGTGGGATTCAGCCAGTTCGCACCACTTCGGGAGAAGTGGTTGTTAACTTTCTGAGCAGTTTGGTGAACTGGTTGTTGGAAGAAATCATTAGGGCGGAGAACCGGTTGTTAAATTATTTGAATCCCACCACTGCATAGAATTTAAGGATATTCTCACTAACTCGATTATTTCACTGCTTGTTTATCTTACAGCTTATTATATAGCTGATTGTTTTATTCAAAAGTGAAACCATTTTATGGTCTATTCAGTGGTAGAATATAAAATATTTTAACTCTTAGTACAAAAGGCTGTTTTCATTTGAAGATGGATTTTTTTAAGATTTCAGAATTTCTTTATATTTATTTATTTATTTTATTTATTAGATTTAGATATAAAACATTTAGATACTAATCTGATTGTCATATGATTCCTGCATGTGTTCTGCATGTTACATCACATAGGAATATCCTCTAGGGGACAAGGATACTCTTTATTTTTCTGTCTGGTTTTCTCTAGGGTAGTAATTCTGAGGTCACAGCTTGTATCTCTTTTAGCAATAGGCAGACTTGCCTTTTTCGCTACAGATCTTCCTGTTCCTATCAGTAAGGTAAATGTTTTAAGCAATGATGCTAGTTAAAACATCATCTTGTCATTTTTTAAAATTAAATAGCAACAAATATTTATATATGGTGCTATGGATTTTTCCCCCTTTGTATATTTCTATACTGTACTGTAATCAATAAACTAATGGCATAATTCTAGCACATAACTCAATGTCAACTAGAAAGTTAATGGCTAAACCATTGGATTAAATGATATACCTAGGTTTTCCCATTCTGGTTAGCTAAACCAGAACATGCTGTATGTGAAACACCATTATTATTTATGTGGTCCAGAGGTCTAGATTTTACCCCCAGTAAAATCTAATCTCAGTATTCTTTCCTGAAAATCTGATATGGGAATTTATTGGTCTCTATTTTGAGGGAGTGCTATTATAGTCATATTAAAATATAATTCTAGAATAATATATTCAGATTAAATTGGTAATAAATAACATGGTGCCTTCAGTTTTCATTCACCTCAGTCAGTCAGTCAGTACAAGCTGTCCCAGATCTAAAGTGTCAAAAATCCCATGCTTTTGTTGTTTAGAACTTGTTTTAGATGCAGAAAAGAAAAATATCAAATTATATTAGAGGAGATAAAACTGTACCTACCATCTCACATGAAAATAAAAAAAGAACTTATAATAAATATTTTCATTGTTCTTCCTTTTTAGTGTAAGAACTGTCATTCCTTCCAATTGGTTGATTCCTAGTGACTTGATGGATAACAGCTGTCCAGGTTATACTGTCTGTCACAACATTATGCCAAGTACATTTCTACCTTCCCCAGTATGAAAGTATTTACCATAGTTGGATCTGCCCTCACAATGTGGCCAAAGTATAATAGTTTTTATTTCATGATCTTTGTTTCTAGTGAACATTCAAGCCTAGTTTTGATTTCCTCCGGTATTAAGTTGGTCCTCTTGACTGTACAAGGAATGTGAAGCAGTTTCTTCTAGTATCATAATTCAAAGAATAATTCTCATTCATGTGCAGCATCTATCTATTGACCCCCTCAATTTTTGGGGGATGAAATCTCAGGGTCTTTCATGAGTTTTCATAGTATCCCCCAATATCTTTTGCCTATTATTATCTGGACATTTTGTATACCCATAATCAATTTTAGAGCCTTGAAAACTGAAACAGTCAACTACTTTTAACGTTTCACCATTTATCCTAAATCCTCTACTTTTACATAAGTATAACTTTTATTTTCTTGATGTTCATAGAAAGCCTAGCCTTTTCACTCTCTTTTTACAATTATTGTTCTTAGGTCTTCTTCAGTTCCTGCAGCTAAATAAGCCTATTGACATTCCTTCCAATACTCTTGGAAATCCCCAGAAGTCTTACTCCTTTTCATTTGATTTATATATCTCATAGTAAAACAAATGATAAATATATTACCCAAATAAAATCATTATTTTATCCATATTTTAAACAAGACAGTTGTTAAAGTGGAATGGGATGTGTACATAATTCTTTGCAAACAACCACACTGGATTCATTCTTAACCTATCTTATTTGAGCACTGATATGAGTTTAATGTTTTTGCATTAAAATAAGAGGAAGTTTTTGATTCAATAAAGAACCTCTATAGATCAAAGAGATCCTCCTGCTTCAGAGATTCATTGTAAAATTGAGACTATGATTACTGAGATGGAAATATGAAATCAGCATGCTCATTCTTATTTTCCCTTCTTGATGAAGGATTCTCTTGATTTGGTTTATCTGGAGCTATTTGTCTGGGTATTACATCTATTGCCCATACATGTCTGGTCTGGATTTCTTAAAATTGATCTATGAGAACCTGATTTG